TCAAGTGCAAACTAATTGATCGAGAGGAGGGGGATTCTCATTTGTCTTCTTCACTGGCCTAGATCCTCCCAACTTTTCCTCCATAGACAGGATGAGCCCATCTAGGAACTTAAATCAAAGGAGCCCTTCTATGTTAAGACATTTTACTGCCATTTAGCCCATCCTCCTCCTATTCCAAATGTGTTATCATGGAAGCAATTTGGGAGATAGCAGAATCACCTTTTCTGCCAGGGCAGTTATAAAGGGAGAATTTTGACTTTTCGCAAATCTAATGAAAAGCAGATAAAGTACTTGCCAATGGATGGTACATCTGCAATAAGACAAATGAAATGATTGATTTTTTATTTCTTTACCCTGAATTTGGTAGTGGTGAGCTCCATTGTGGATGAACTTGGTACTTAGCTGGGTATCTAGGTTGATAAGAGTAGAAAGAAACCTCTCTCTAACTCCCCTGGCTACCATGTCGATTATTTGGAAGGAGAGACATAAGGGCTTTTGAGATGTTTGTTATCCTTTTGAGTGTCAGAGATTTGAGGTTCAAACCTTTTATCCTCCGTTCGAGGGTCAACCTCTAGTTTCTACTTGAGGATTTTGTTGTAAACATATTTGCACCAACTTGTAATGTACCAATCTTTTATACATGGGTGGCAACCTCTTGGTCCCTTGTCAAGATAATCTTTTCCATCTTGAAGAAAATGACAGCCATATATTCCTGAGATGTTTTTACCTCATAATCACCTTGCATCAACTATTTTTTCATTGACTTGATGCAAACAAGTAAAATTTAGTCATATGCATGTTTAAACTTCTAACTTTTGTTTTACCCAACAAATCTCCACCAAAACTTTTTGAATGTCAAGGAATCTAGAAATTTTCTTATGATGATGAAACACACAAAAAGAAACAGGCCAATGGATATAAACTGAGCACATAACATGAGGGAAAAATGGCAGTAGACGATCCTGAATTAAAGATTATGACCATTCAAAGGATAATAGTTGGGAAGATAAGGCTCTGTTTGGTCAATTAAAATATTTTCTAGCTTTTATTTACTAAATTCATGTATCTTTAAATAAAAATATATTGGCTGATAGAAAGGAATAAAAAGTAGTTCTTTCTTTTTTCTAACAGAACTCTGGTAACTTCAAAAACCCTAATTGGAGCCCCTTTTTTCTTTATAACACTGAAATCAACAATAAACATACCTAGAAACTCAGTTATACTTGTTGATGAATAGCCAAAAATAAGCAAACTAGAGCATCAATGTCATATATCAACGCCTGATATCCCAGACCTTTTCAGATGCGCCAGAGCATATACGTATATGCATATATGTATATGTATATTGAAAAGGGAAAATGAAATAAAACTGATGAGCCCTAACATATATTACAGGAAATGGTAGAAAAAGGATATAGGTTCACATTCCCAAAACAGCACAACAAGATCAATTAAAATGAAACATCTGATCAGCAAGCAAATTATATTTTCTTTTTCATCTTACTAGTACTTATATTGCAGGACTGATGCTTCCAAAATTCCATACCATCACTAACCTCATATGATATCACATATATTTTCCACCAAAGAAGCAAAACCGATGGAACACGCCTAAGCTTAACCAAAGCAGTAAAAACATCCAATTAACTAATTTAATAAATTAGAAAAGAAATTAGCCAAAGTCCAACGTACCCAGTTGACTATTTCATCAATTAATCGCACTTACAATCCACGCCCTTCCTAGCAGCTCTTGCATTATCATACTCAAACTTCAATACGTTGGGTATATGCGAAGTATCCTTCATATAAAACATTCTCCCAAATGCGCTCTCCTCGATCACCGGGAAGTAGCAAAATAGAATAGAATTCACTACCCAAAACCATACAGCGCCAAGCACCGTCCCCAACGTAGCTCCGGCGAACACCTGAGCCACCGTATGGTACCCCAAATACACCCTCGAGTACATGGTGAGCAAAGCCATAGACCAGTTCAGCGAACTCACGCTCCATCTGTTCTTGACCCCCATCCAAAATCCAATTCCCTTACAAGTCATAAGTGTGAAGTACATAGAAAAAAAAAACATGTACTGAGAGTGGCTAGAGGGCCACCCATGAGAATCGCACATCTCAAGGAGGGCGCAGGTCTCGGGTCGGGCCTGTTGTACGGATTTCTTAATGAGTTCGTTGATGAATTGAGAGATGAGGAGGCCTAGAGCGAAGAACATGACTTGAAGCTCGCGTCGAAAGATGAAGTGGGAAACGAAACCCCCTAAACTGATGAAAACCGGAACCAGAGAAATCCAGGCCAGGAAGTGGCCCAGCTGATCGCCTCTCTGGTAACGGACGTGCGTCAAGGTAACGGCCTTTAACGGAGGGTGATGAGCCATTATTCTTGCAGCTGGAGATGGGATTGAAGGAGACCTGTGCAGTGACTAATATAGGGATCGGTAAATGCAGAGGGGGACTTTTGACTCTCTTTTCAGGTGTTTGCTTCTCGAGAAACTGTCGAGAAAGGAAATAGTATGACAGAAAAGTGAAGAATCAAGGAACGGAGGAACTGGCCTTGGAGATTTTGACACGTGGATACAAAGTATAATTTAAAAATTAAAAAAAAAATCGTCTTCTTCTCCTTCCCTCTATGCAATAGGTTTCAACTCCCGGCCGTTCTCATTGTGTTCTAAACTATATTTTTGTAGGTATCCGCATTATAATTTAATTAAAATATTCAATTCCAATAAAATTTTTAATTTAATATTTTTAATCTAAAATAATTTGTTAGATATTTTAATAAAAATTTAATTAATTTGATCTTGATGTAATTTTAAAAATAATTACAAGACTTTTCAATTAAACATTTAAATTTTAATAAAGTTTTGAATTAGAAAAATAATGTAAGTTTTAATCTGAACAAATATTTTTAAATTAATAATTTTAGATCCACGAAAATTTTAATAAATGCATTTAAACTCACCCTTCTTCTACTCATATATTCTCTTAATTTTTTTATCTTGTTTATATTCTTTTCTGTCATCTATGCCAAACTTACTTTTATTTAAATAAATATTCATTAGTTCGAAATTAAAATAAATTAAACTGTACTAAAAATTAAAACTTGTAAAAGACACGAATGGATACTCAATTAAGTATCAACACTAAATAGAATATAAAATATTCTCAAAATAAAACAAGTTTATGCATTAAATTAAAGGAAATAGAATTATGTTTCATACTTGCTTTCTCCAATAATACTCAATTTGTGTTACCTCCATATTCAATTGAAAGAAAACCTAAAGGAGAAAACCTAAAGGCACGAAAAAAAATAGGAAACTTGAAGAGGATAACTACGTAAATTGTCTAATATTTGACTATGAAAAGAATGTAGAAGTCGTTGGATAAGAACTAGTAAAAATATAAATGTGAAAAAAAAGAAACTTTAGATTGTCAAATAGAAGAGATTCGACTTTGAGTTTTTTATAGTAAATGTCGAGCGTTATGAGGAATAAATAATAAGTAATAGAGCATTAAATATGGGATAAAGAAAAAATTTTCCATGGCCATGTAGAATAGACAGAAGTAAAGGTGAAAAGCTGGTGAAAAGCTAGCTTTTAGTCTTTGACATTTCGGATTTAAATTTTCAAATGAGGGATTTAAAGTTTCTTCGTTTTATACATACATACATACATACATATATACATGTACTGTATTTTTAAATTTTCATGTTATCTAGTTTGCTTATGATTTAGACTGTGACTAAAACTAGAATATACCAACTTTTCTTATCCTTATTTTTTATGAAGTGAGGATTGAACCAAAACTTCTTTAGTTCAATCCAATTTTTTAAAGTGGATCCAAAAATGCATATTTTTAAAATCAAGTATTTTTCTCGTTGACTCAACTAACTCAACATCATATAAGCACTCCAACTTCATTCGCTTTCATTATTAATAAATAACATATTATTTTATAATGCTACACTTATCAAAATAAATAAAAGGAAACTTTTGCGAATAATGAATTGATCAAGATAAAAAAAATGTATATTATATTTGTTTTTAATTATGATAACTCTTGCATCATGGGGTAGCATAAAGATAAACATCCAATATAAGAAGTACATGCTTCTAAAATGCTACGTCTTTATCTCTATAATTATGAATATAATAAAATTTTGATTATGACTTATTAGTATAAATGTGTACTATTTATGACATCATAAAATTAAAAAAATAGAGTTAAAAATAAATTATATCCTAAAACATAATATAGATTAAATATTTATTGTATTACTTGAACATAAATAAATAATTATAATTCAAATAAATTAAAAAAATAGTAATTGAATTTGAATTGAAAATAGAATAAAATAACAATTACATTCGAATTGAAGATAAATAATAAAATAAAATCTGAAAAATGAAAATAATATATTTTTTTTAAAATGTAGATAATTATAAGATTATATTATTGTATTATTTATTATTATAATTTGGATAAATAAAAAATCAAAATAATGATAATAAGAAAATCAAAATAATGATAAATTTTGATTTGAAGATAAATAATATTTTAGATAATATTGATTTGAAATATTTTAGATAATTATGAGATAACTTTGTTATATTTTCTTTTATTTATCAATTAGGTATAACGTCTATCTACTTATAAACTTAAATTTAAATCATAAATGAAGATAAATAATTTGTCATAATTGAAAATTAAAATAATATAAGAAAATAAATAATTTCTCACATGAATTTAATATTATTGAGAACTATTTAAATTAAAAAATTGAATCTTACCAATTAAATAATTTATTATGTATATTCATATATCAATTCTATATATTTAAAAAATTATATTCAGAAATAAGAAATTAACATGATATATAAAAATAATAATAAATTCCTAGTAGATAAAATAGTCCTCTATTTTAATTCTTTTAGATTTTACCCCTTTATTTATTTGTAAAATTATTAAATCATATACTCAACTAATGTAAAATAAACAAATAAGCATAATGTAGCATTTTCAAACAGAAAACCACAAAACATGTTAATCATATCAAATTACATAGTATACTAAATAGATAACTAGTTTTCCTTTTAATTTAAACCTAACAAATTGCAGAACTTGGAAGCATTGATTTCATTGATTCAAGTGTGTGTACATATATATATATATATATATATGTGAAGGTAAAGGTTCAATCCCATTTAAAAACCGATAACATATTTATGCCAATTAACTCAAAAATCCTCACATATCAACATAATATTCATCTCTCATATCATTCCAACAAATTATTATCCAATAAAATTTTAGACTCATAGAATTTAAGGATGAAATCATACTTATAAATGAACAAACATGACAAAATTTCTTTTGCTTAATTTCACTTTAGAATATACCCAAATCATCCCCCAAAATTCTCTTCTTTCCTTACAGTTTAGTGCAAAATTTTGTCCTAAATTCTTTTTAGCAAATTTTTTTGAAATATCCTAAAATGAATTTAGGGTTTTATAAAATGAATTTGGGTTTAATAGTAGTGATTGATCGATTCTTTATATAATCTTTATCTATGTTCCTATGTATGCTTAATAGAAATAGTTGCAGTGTTATTCATGAAGCATGTTATCAAGTATTTTGACATACCTATGGATATTATCAATTATTGTGATTATTGGTTCATGGGAGAGGTATGGCCTATGCTGTGGAGTATATTTGGATTAGAACTTAAATTCTCAACAACAAATCATTCTCATATGGACAAACATGATGAATATATTTTTGGAAGAGTTTGTGGTAGTTACACTTCACAAGAAAGAAAAAATGAGTGGAGTTGTTAGATATAACACAATTTTTGTAACACTCCGAATATGGAATTTAGGCTCGGGATGACTAAAGTTATATTAATAATAATTTTAAAAAATTTTAATTTTAATTTTTTTGAATTTTTAAAGAAATATGCATTTTGGATGTATTTGAAAATAATTTTAAAAAGGAGGGGCCAAACTAAAAATAAGGAAGGACCCATTTGAAATAAAAATTTGAGAACTGGGGCAAAAGTGCAAAAATAGAAAAAAAAGGCCACGTAGGATGGCCACGTTAGCAGCACGACTAGTCGTCGTGCACTGCGAGGCAGACACGCGGATACATGTTCCACGTGGGAGACCACACGGGTAATTTGTGTGCCAATCGATCCAATAGTCCGGATTCACTCCCCCACGCACGAACGACCCAGATTCGTTTTTCTATCAGACGCGATCGAACTGTCCATGTGCCTTCAATCGGACGGTTATGATTTGCTTCCCAAATAAGCAAGATCTAACAGTCGAGATTGACCCAAGCAGCCCCAAACGAACGACCTAGATCGAAAGTGGAGAGGGATTTAAACCTCTCTACCCGAACCCTCTAAAACCCTAGTCGCCAAGGAGCACCGGAGAAGAAGAAGAAGGACGACCAGAAAGTAAACCAGTCGTTGGAGAAAAAGACTGGCCACCGTCGCCACTGCATCGGAAACCTAAATCGATGATAGAGGAGTTTTTTTTCGTAAGTCGTGTAAGGAGGGCGACTATGCTTGAAAATCTCTCTACAAACTTGTAGTAATAACCTGCCATACCCAAAAAGTTTCGAAGTCCCTTAATCGAAATCAACTGCTTCCAACCCATCACTACATCAATCTTATCAGGATTCACTAACACACAATCCTTTGAAATTATGTACCCGAAGAAAGAAGTCTGCTCAAGCCAAAATCCACATTTACTCAATTTTGCATATAATTTTTTTCCCCTGAGAATCTATAAGAATTGAGTTAGATGCTGAGTGTGTGTCTCTCTGCTCTTCGAATAGACCAGAATATCATCAATGAATACTATAATGAATTGATCCAAGAACGGCTTGAAAGCCCTATTCATCAAGTCCATAAAGATTGCAGGTGCTTAGTTAACCCAAATGACATGAACAGGAACTCATAGTGCTATACTGGATTTTGATGGCTGTTTTAGAGATGTTTTCTGCCTTGATCTTTACCTGATGGTATCCCGAACACATGTCAATCTTGGAAAAAATCTAAGCACCCTATAATTGATCGAAAAGATCATCAATTCTGGGGAGGAAGTACTTGTTCTGTTCATTTTCCTGTGGTCAATACACATCCTTAAAGAGCCATCACTTTTCCTTGCGAACGTGACTCTAGTACCCCAAGGGGATATGCCATGTCAGATGAACATATTATCCTGCAACTCCTTGATCTATTTTCTCAATTCTTCTATCTCGACACGACTCATTTGGTATAAGACAACCAAGATGGGTTGGGTATCAGGCGGAAGATCTATGGTAAATTTGAATTCTTGACTATTAGTAGTTTTGGTAGTTCATCAGGGAATACGTTCGAAAAATCTTGGACAATAGAAATATTTTGAATGCAAATCTCTTTCTTAGGCTTGCATAATGTTGAAAAAAATAGTTGAGTTAAGGCATTTGATAAACAATGCAGTTACCACGTGTGAATAATATCTAAAACTTTTATAAATTTGTGAAAGACTCTTCGTTAGGAATATTGAATACAAGCTTCTTATGAAAA